TCAACAGCCCCAGCAATGAGAATTTCTATGGTTTGCACTAAAAGGGATTGTCCCTAGGATCTACTGCTCACTGTGAAAATACACCCAGGTAGGATTGCCAAGGGTAGGTAGCTTTGGCTACAGGGGCTGGACCAGGAACCATGGTCACATCTGATTTCCAACTGAGGACATGCCACCACCACCCCGCCCCCAGTGCTCCCAGGAGAACTACCACAGTCATTAAGCCTGGAGCCACTGGGGTTCTCTGCTCTGAGCTGGAGCCCCAAGGCTTTGGAAACTGTAGCAGCTTTGTGGAGCCTGTAGGGAGAGGACACAGACTTTCACCCTAAGGGACTGTGACCTGGGCAAGATGCCAGTGTCTGCTCGGCATTTACAGCTCTAATGACAGGGCATTTGGTCTGTTACTCTTGTCATTTCCTTGAAGGGACCATGCCCTTCCTGAGGAACAAATGCCATTCTCTCTAAAAGGCCGGGGCAAAGTACCCACCCGAGAAGGTTAGTTGAGGGAGGGAAGGAGAGAGGATGCTTGGTGGAGGTGCCTGTCGCACACTGAGCGGCTGCCCCCACCCTCCCCCACCAGTGCTTTACACTCGACTGCAGTCATGTGACTAATTTTGTCCAAGTAATTCTTCTGGGACCAAACATTTAAGACCCAGGGCATGAATCCCATCCGCCATCTCTGCCAGGGCTACCTAGATACCCTTGGGGGTGGCAAGACTACATACAGAATCTGACTGAACCCCTGAATCCCCAAGGAGACAACTTGGGGACATTTAGATCCCTCAGCACATGTGAACAGCCACTGAGAGTCAACGGTTTCATGCCATGTTGTAGCCAATAAGATCCTAACACAAGAGGTAATAGAGAGGCCGTCAAGCCGGATCCCAGAAACTACGCCCCCAAAGAGCATCAGCAGGAAGTGAGAGGGGGCAGGGTGTGGGGTGAAGGGAATGGGCTCAACAACAGAACAGATAAAACTCCCATGATCTGTAACCCCCAGATGGCCATGCCTCTAGAAAGCCATTCTTCAACGGCATTCTCTCATAGACTGGGGCTGTATTATGAAGGTGCGTGTGGCCCGAGAGTGTGTTGTGAAGGACATATAGCTACAGCCTCCCCAGTGTCCTCGTCTAGGGAGAGAGTCTGACATGTGAATGAGAAGGAACTCTGGGACAGGGATCGTCCTGCAGAGGTGAGAGGAGGTCTGGAGGACTGGGAAGATGGGCTTGCCCTGTGTCTCTGAGAGGGTGTCACAGGGGAGGTGACCTCAGCAAGATAAGACCTGTAAGGTAGAACAAGAATGAGCTGGATGCCAGGCAGAGGGAAAGCAAAGAGAAATGAAGGACCAAGGCAGATGGGCCAGAGCCCAGCTGTACTGCAGGTAGGGTAGACTGAGTCCAGGTCGGAGGCCAGGGAGGTTAGCTGGATCAAGAGTGGACAGAAGCTTGGTCCTCTATGGGAAGAGAAGATGTTAGGGGACTAAGCTAGAGGGATGTTAGTGTCTAACTTCTCTTGAGGAGAGGGTGGAATGCAGGTAGGAAATGAGCTCAGGCTAACCCCCTTTATCTACTTCTTGGCTCTAGATGGGAAGGAAGGGAGCTGGTGGATTTCTGTCTGGGAGTTCATTTATCTCTAGACACACCAAGAGATTCCAAGGGAAGCTCGAGGTCCCCAGGCTACAGAGGTTTTCCTTCTTATATGGTGGTCGTCATAGTCTTTACTTGAGCACACAGTGCCTTCTGGGTAAATTTGGAAGTTCTAGCTAGTGTTTGATGGTCACTATGCATGCTCTCCAGTCACTGGCTCTCAGTGACTGAGGCTAGGAGTCCCAAACATTCTGCATGGCATTATGGGACTCCATGCTGTGAAGCCCTATACACGCCAATGGCATGGCCAGGGTAGCTGGCACTCAGGAGCCCCAACAGACAACTTGTGCAGGCACTTTCAGCTGGGTGGTGCTTTGAGGGATGTTACAAACTCTCAGAACAGCCATCCCCTGAAGAGCTGCTTCTCTGGGACCTGGAATTCTCATCTAGATTGCTGTGTCAGCATCAGCCTAGGGAGACCTACAGGAAATGCAAAGCCTTCATGCAGTGTCTAAGCCACTGTGGTCAGAATCATCTGGGACCTGAGGTTTCTGACTGTATTGTATATAGGAATTTCCAGAAATGTTTTAAAATCATGGATTCCTCTGTATGGTCTTGCAGCTGAGCAGGCCTTCCCTTGATGCAGCAGGGTCAGCTTTAGCAGTCAGAACATGACATATGGCAGAGCCATGTTTTCCTGTCCTTCTGAAAAGAGGCTGTGAAGGGGTGACGCTTCTGTTCTCTCACCAAGACATCCTCTTCATTACATGCTTCTTGCAGTTGTTTTGGAAAAAGAATAATCTTATTTGTGTGTGTGAGTGTCTGTGGGTACATGTGTGTATATGTGTGTGTATACATGTGTGTATGTGCATGTGTGTGTACATGTACGTGTGTATGTATGTGTGTACATGATGCGGGGTCCTCAGGTAGCAGCACACGTGTGTGTGCAGGTAACCTTGTGGAGTGCTTCTCTCCTTTCACCTTTGTGTGAGCTCCGGGGACTGAACTCGGGCCACCCAGCTTGTGCGGCAAGCTCGGTCACCCACCCAGCCAGTTCACTAGCTCATTCCTTACTTGCTTTGCTCCTGATATATTGGGAACTATGACCTGTAAGCCTAGTGTGGTGGCACACACCTGTAATCTAGCCCTTAGGAGGATCTCTGTGAATTTAAAGTCAACCTGGGCTACATGGAAAGACTCTACCAAAACAAACAAACTAACAAAACAGGCTGGAATGGTTCCTGCCACAGGTAAGTGGGGAAAGACATCAAGCATCGACCGGAAGTTATGTCTCATGCTAAAACATGTGAGAGATGGAAGCCAGGAGAGACAGATCCAGGGTAACTTCTAAAAAAGAAAAAAACACACCAGAGGGGATTAACATCAAAAGAAAAGACGAGTGAACTGGAGGGAGGACAAGACAGCAGAAGTCACCCCAAATAAGGAAAGAGGGGGAAAAGACCTTTAAAAGACGAGCAGATTTCTGACAAGCCCTGGGGAATGAGTAGTGGGGCCTGCAGACATTTGAAGCACAGACTGGGGACAAGGAAGATACACATTGAACAGTCTCCAAATATGCAGGCTGAGGAGTGGCTGGTTATAAAGTACCGGTGTGAGAGCCAGAGGTCAGAGTTCAACCTCCAGAATCTATGTTAAAGCTGGGCATGGTGCTGCGTGGTCCCAGCTGGGGGCGGTACAAACAAGAGAGGCTTTGCTGAGGAGCCAGTTTAGTTGAACTGTCAAGCTCCAGGCTGGTCTAGATGCTGGTTAGGTTTGTTTTTGTTTTGTTTTGCTTTGTATTTTTTTCAACTTGACAAAGCTCAGGCCATCAGGGGCAAAGGAGCCTCAATGAAGGAATTTCCTCCATCAGACTGAATGGGCAAGTCTGAAGGAGTATTTTCTTGACTGATGATTGATGTGGGAAGGCCCTGCCCATTACGGGCGGTGCCACCCTTGTAGTAAGCTGAACAGGCTATGGGAACCACCCAGTAAGCAGCACTCCTCCATGGCTTTTGCTTCAGTTCAAGCTTTCAGGTTCCTGCTCCAACTTCCTTCATAATAGAACTGAAATAAACTCTTCCCTTCCCGAGTTGCATTTGGTCATGTTTATCACAGCAATAGAAGGCCAACGAGGACAGTCAATCTCAAAGAATAAAGAAGATGGCAACTGAGGGAAACCCTTTTTGTCATCTCTGTGTATATACAGACAGGCACACACACACATTACACAGACACATATATCACATACACACACATCACACACACATTACACATATGTCACATACACACATCACACACACATACATCACATACACATACATCACACACATATCACACACACATCACATACACATCACATACACAGAGATCATATATCACATACACACACATCACACACACATCACATACACACATCACACACACATCACACACACATCACATACACACACACCACACATACATCACACACACACATTACATACATACACACATATCACACACACACATTACATACATACACACATATCACACACACACATCACATACACACACATCACACACACACCACACACCACACACACATATCACACATATATATCACACACACACATACACATACACACACACTCCAAAATATGACAAACACACAAACTCTAGATTTAAGAAACTGAGTAAACCCAGAGAGAGATGGGGGAAAGAGACCCTGCCAGCCCATCCTCACTCAAGTGCTAGGGTCATACTGCGGACTCCCTGGCCTCTCTCAGTGACAGGCTTGAGGCAGGGCAGAGAGGAGGACAAAAACCAGGATGAGATGGGAAAGTGTGGTGAACAACAGTGAAGCAGCAGAAGAGTTTCAGGAGTGAGACGAGCCGCAACTCCAGTCCCTTTCCTGGGGACTATGGCACTAAGTGCCATTTCTGCAACAGTTAGGTCTCGACTTATTGGCATCTCTAGGCCTGGGTTCACTCAGCTCTGCTGAGCGAGTGCTTCTTGTCTCAGAGCTCTGACCCATTCTGGGAAAGGAACACAATCAAGGACAAAATCAGCAATCACAGTGGGTGCCGGAGCTGCCAGGACAAGCTCATCTTTCAAGTGCCACGTTAGACACTCTGTAGATCTTCCGCCCGTGTGAGCGTGCGGTAGAATGCTCACCGCTGTGGTGTTGGGTCAAGGGAAAAACTTCCAAGCTAGACTGGTGGCCAGCCCAAGTCCCCTTCATTAAAGAGACAGGTTCTCGAATGTCCTTATGGTGTCACCATGGTGGGTTGCCACAGCCACTGTCAGTGGGACAGCTGGTCCCTGGTGAGTCCCCATTCTACCCACTTGCTCCTATTGTCCATGACATAGGACATCACCGGCTGGAGCAAGGGACCAGCGGGCGTGCCCAGGCAGAGAGCAAGACCGAGGACCTACCTGCCAGGTCGGGAGGACCTTCTCAATGTCGTTCAGGCTGATGCCATCTCCATCTTCCTGCTTCCCCTTTCCACACCTAGACCACAAAAGACAGAATGGTATTGAGAGGATGGCTCATCAGGCTCTGGGGAGGATGTCTTATCAGGCTCTTGTCCCTGCCTGGCTGCAGGAGAGGTGTGGCCCTGCTCTCAGCCACTCAGCCAAGGAAAGGACCCCAGGGTTGGATTCCTGTAGCCCTCCTGCAACACATATCTGAAGGGAGGTGAGCAATGAACCCATTGATAGCTCCTTCCAGGCACAGCTGCTATACTCCCAGCTAATATCTGCCCTACCCCCACAATTCCTGAAAATGCTGGTTCATTTGGCCTCATTGCACCAAAGTGGGGCGAGGGGATCAGCGAACACAGAGAGACCAAACAACCATCGCAAAGTCACACAGGCAGGCAGGAGATGGCAGAAACCCAGCGTAGCCTCCTCCTCCTTCTTCTTTTTTTGTTTGTTTGTTTTTCGAGACAGGGTTTTTCTGTGTAGCCCTGGCTGTCCTGGAACTCACTCTGTAGATCAGGCTGGCCTCGAATCCGCCTGTCTCTGCCTCCCAAGTGCTGGGATTAAAGGCGTGCGCCACCACCGCCCGGCTAGCCTCCTTCTTCTTTGTCTTGCGTCTGTAACACCAGCCATAGCTATACTGTGTGTTCTGTATTCAGGGTCTCTGTGGATGGGTGTGCCTGCAGACTGAGAATGCTGGCCCAGTTCACTACCCAATCTTAATCTTTTTACACATTTAAGCTCTTAATCTTTTTGCACATTTAAGGGTGCAGCTGCTAGCCCCAGACTGCCAGAGTTTGGACTCCAGAGTTTGCATCCCTTCCTGAGGGACTCTAAATCACGTTTTATACCTCCGTTTCTTCATTTGGAAAATGGGGATAATAAAAGTGCCTGAAATCATAACCTGGTTCGTGGATTAAAATGATAAGAAGAAGAGGCACAAGATAAGTATATCCCTTCTGCTTTGGCAGCCAGTCCTACTGTTATCATGCAGTCACGGGGCAGGGGAGCAGACAGGAGACCAATCAGAGCCTAGATCAGAGGCTGCCCCAGTCTCAGGTACATTTCTCATCTCTGACTCTCCCCATGGACAAACACCTCCAGCTTCAACTCAAACTCCAGGGTAATTTTCTCATTTGTTTAAATATCTGCCTAGCATTGCTTCTGGTTTCTTGTCAAGGAAAACAACCCAGATGTGGTTCCAGACAGACACCATAGAGCTCTTGATAAGAGTAAATTGGAAACTCACCTCCTAGGGCTATGAGCATAAACTTTCCACTAGAGGGCAGCATAAGGCAAGAGTCCCAAAAGTCAGGTTGTGTGTGTGTGTGTGTGTGTGTGTGTGTGTATGTGTGTGTGTTCTGAAACCCAGACAGGAAAAAAAATCTGGCAGGCCAAACTAGCAAAGGCTTAGGTGGAAGAAAACAAGGACCTGAACATGGCCTCCATTAGACCATTCTTTTCTTCATCAGGCATGGCTACATGGGGCTATGGGTCTAGCCTGGCATTTAGGTTCAACAGCATGGAATTGGTGGGAGATAGCCCAGTGGAACTGTGGCCAGTACCCCCCATCCAGGGCACAAGGTGGTGCTGCAGGAACCCGGAGGGGTGGGGTGTAGAGGTGATGGACGAGGGCAGGAAGGACAGCCTGAGAGAATGGTGAAGAAAGTCACAGGCCATTGAGTGAGAGACACAGTAAAGCCAGGAGCCCAAATCAGTTACACTGCAAGCTGGGCTTCTGGCTTCAGTTTGCTGGAGAACAAAGTATGTGTTGAAGTGGAGGGTGTGCCGAGGATGTACCTGTGATGGTCCAGGCTCAGGCAGGTGGAGATGGAGCAGACGGGGCATGGGGAGAGTGTGACAGGTGTAAAGTGAGAAGAGATGGGTCAGGCCTCGGCTGCCACACCCATTGTGAAGTGCTGGGCCACAGTGAGGAGGCAGAGGAAAGCCAGGCTGGACCACACAGCTATCTTTGAATTAATCATTCTGCCTGACAGTGATGGGCTGGCCTGCAAAAGCACCAACTGTGTGCCATGTTCAGGCCATAGATGTTGTGAAGGAGCTGACCCCACTGGAATGGCTGATGCCACTCTTTAAGGTCTCATGTGGGTAAAACACACCTGAGAACTGAACTCACCAGGTGGAATTGGGCTCAGAGCCCGTGGCAGACTCCATTGAGCAAGTACGGGCCGGGCCTTAGCCCTGTCACCGAAGCAGTCTGAGGTCAGCAGTGGGCATTGTACAGAGGCCAGCTCTGACCACTAGCCTGCCTGGCCAGGGTGAAACTTCCTACAAAGCTGCAGGTGTGGCAGGCAGATGGTGGCTGCAGACCAGCTGAGTTACTGCTGCCAGTGGGGTTGCCAAGGCAACGGCTCGTTCCAGTTCTGTCCCTCTATGGGAACACAGGCTGTGGGAAGCCTTGGCAACCTGCTTCTGAGGGAGGCTGCAGTGGCTGGACACATGGAGTCCTTCCTTCACATGTCAAGGCTAAGGGGGACGGAGTTCCTGACCTAGCCACAAGGTGGCCACGGGGCACTCCCCATAAATCCTGAGTGGCAGGGTAAGTCCAGGGCCAGAGTGTCCGTCTACCCTAGAGAGTTAAGCCAGCTTCTGCTGGTGAGCGAGCCTAGCCAAAGAAGTAGGACCTGCAGCTGGTGAATGGGGGTGGCCTGGTCTTCTGGTTTTAGACAGTGTTGTTGGGCACAGAATAATCTTCCCTGTGTGGCCATTAATCAGCGCCTCCCACAACCTGCTTATGATGGGGCTGCTCTTCTTATGAGGAAGCTGACATACCCTGTGATGGTTTGTATATGTTTGGCCCAGGAAGTGGCACTATTAGAAGGTGTAGACCTGTTGGAGTAGGTGTGGCCTTGTTGGAGTAGGTGTGTCACTGTGGGCGTAGGCTTTAAGACCCTCATCCTAGCTGCCTGGAAGCCAGTGTTCTGCTAGCAGCCTTCCAATGAAAATCTCAGCTCCTCCTGCACCATGCCTGCCTGGATGCTCCCATGTTCCTGCCTTGATGATAATAGACTGAACCTCTGAACCTGTAAGCCAGCCCCAATTAAACGACCTTTATCAGACTTGCCTTGGTCATGGTGTCTGTTCACAACAGTAAAACCCTAACTAATATACACCCATTCGCCACTCACAGATTAAAGTGCCACTGTCACCTACATTTCCCAAGTCTCAGCTTCCCCACTGGTGTCACCAGACATGCTCCCAGGGAACACAAAGGAGGGACAGGAGCTACCCAGGAAATATCTCCACAGTGCTCCTTAGAGATTTTACCTTCCAGAGTCCCTCATTTTCACCTCATTTCATGAGTATTTTATTTAACTCTTTCTGAACTCCATTACTCTGGCCTATAAAATGGGGTGAGACCATCACTGCTCCCAGGTTCCTGCTCAGTCCCACCTCTTATGCCACCAAGAGGCATGGCCTCTACAGATGGGAAGGGGCAGAGCATCTGCTAGAGGACACGTGGCATACAGTAAGACATCCCATCATGTTGGTTATGTTTAGTGCTAGAGAGACATGGAGACGGGAGTGGGCAGCAAGAACAGGAGGAAGAGCAAAGAAAATCATCACAGTAAAACTGAGTCCCAAAGTGGGAGACTGAGACCGAGGATGGGAAAACCCAGAAGTCTTTTATACTGTGATGCACAATATTCAGCTTTGGGAACAAAAAGCTGAATATGACAAAATATAACAACATAGCTCCTGAAAAAGTTACCCAGAGTTCCCACATGGCTGAGCAATCCCAGGAGGGACCTAAGCAGATCCAGCTCATGACGGCATGTCCCAAGCATTAGTTTTTATAGAAGCCCAAAGGAAAGGACCCAAGTCTTCACCAATGGATGAATGAGTGAACAATGGTGGAGTAGCTGGCACCATGGAGTGAGTATCACTCAGCTACTCCATGGAGTATCACTCAGCTACAAAAAGGAATGGGTCCATGGATACTTGTGATCAAACCTTGATAACGCCAAGAAGAAAGACAACAGACAGAAAGGACACAAATAATTCTGAGTCTATAACACCCAGAAAAAACCTAAACTCACAGAAATGGAAAGCAGATTGGTGGTTACCAGCGGGTAGGGGAGGGCTGGACATGAGGTTATGACTGGAAGTGGCCACACTGTATGGGGGCAGCAAGAAGACAGAGGCAGTGATTGCAGAACTTTGTAAACATGCTCAATGCTGTCAAATCGCTGTTTAAAGTGGTTGATCTTATGCTACATAAATGTTACCTCTGTAAAAATTACTTTTAAAAAGCTGAAAAGCAGCAATGGCTATTTGTCCATGTCTGGCTGGTATCACATATGTGTCCTGAGGGCAGTTCAGGCCGAGACCACCTTTTAAAAACAGGTAATACTGGTCCCTGGAACCAACAAGGGTGAGACAGGCCAGTGAAGTCTGCACTCCCAAATGGTGCTTCTGCATTGGCAGGCAGGTCAGCGTCTCCCTGGGAGCTCGTATGAAGTGTGAGTCTCCAGCCTCTACTGGGTGTGTCTAGCTACTCGACACTGAAGCAAGCCAAAATCATCTGTACAGTTGAAGCTCAAGAGCCCTGAAAATCAAGTACACACACACACACGCACACCACAACCCACCTCATAGTGTCTTAAGGAAGTTTTCACTTTTGAATTGAGCTTCCATTCATAGCTACTCTTGGCTGCATGCAGCCGCAAGCTGTCCACCAATCACAGGTTGGACATGGCTTCGGCGGAAGGTACCTCACACCTCCCGAATCTGAGACTCGGGTGGGTCCTTTTCTGGTGTTCAAGGAAACCACCCAGATGCTCCAGTGACTGACCCACGAGAACAGCTACTTGACAAGAGACACTCAGGAACAGGCATATGGCTGGTCGGGAGGATAGAGGAATTCTCTAGAAAAGCCAGTACACCTGCAGTCCTGGGCTGAGCAGGGAGGACACTAAGGACATAGGTTCACTCCACTTCCCCTGTGCAGGGGAACACAGCCCTGTCCCTGCCACCTTACTCCTCTCTATGTAAGAGTACCTCCCCCCACCCCACCCCCAGAATCCTTACCCTTCTCTGTCGATGTGCGGTAGGGGCTGCTTGGGTGTATGGCGGACCTTCCGATGAAACTGGGTGAAATCCAGCTTTTCAGGCTGCAGGTCCCAGGTGGCACCACTAGGGGGTGAGAGAGGGCAACAAATACAAGAAGTCTTCTTAATACAGGGTAGGCAGGGGGTTCAGTGGACGGGGAGGACCTGTTCAGACCCCACTTGGGATGGAACTCAAGGTATTGGGCCTTCACCTTCCTTCAACTCTGCTGTGGGAAAATACATGCTTCCCAAACATGAATGTAGGCTGGCTGCCCACTCTGTAGGGGTCCCCAACAACCCAATTTGTTTCATGCCTACATTTAAGAAGGGCTGGAAAGAGAAGGACAAATATCTGTCACCAGCACACAAAATGGCGCTCAGGATAAGGTAAGCAGGGCCTGCTTCTCTGTTCCCGTCCTGGAGGCCTCTCCAAGGTGAGTCTGCAGTCAGGAAGCCCAGAGTTGGGTAGCTCAGGGGGTGGGGCAGAGATGACTAATGACTGGCCATTTATGCCCAAGGCCACTACCCACAACAGGGGTATGTCCCATGTCCTGAGGAGCCTGGTCAATCCCAAGCACCATCAGGCATCAGGAACCTTCTAAAATCTGAACCAGTCAGTCTTGCTTTTGTGTGTGTGTGTGTTGCTAAGGAGCAAACCTCAGGCATGACTTAGAGACACTCCACTAGAGAGCCCAGTCCCTTTTCTCTGTTGACTGAAAGGTGGGAAGGGTGCGTGTGGGGGGCAGTGACACCCCTGCCTCTCATTATAGCCGTGTGCCCCTTCTTCCATGCTCCTACCGTCTCTAGTCCCTCCTCTGCTCTCCCCCTCCCCTTCAGTCTGCCTGTCTTCCTTTTGACCTCTGCCTTTTGGCTCTCCCTTTCTTGGAGGCCCTGTGAGTGGTCCTCCTTCCCTACAGCCTCATCTCTGTTTCCATGCTGGATCTGCCCCATATGGCAGGAGACCCCCACCAGCCCTGGACATCAGACAAAAAGGAGGAAGTTACCTGAAGGAATCAAAGGTGTTGGCCGCCCAGATATCTGTGCCCAGCATGTCCAGGGAGTTGTCTTTGTTGCCATTCTGAAAGAGACAAGGAGAGGGGCTAGCATTACTTATGGGGCTAGGACTATGAAAACAACTGGGCAGAGGCTTACAGTAGGTCAAGCCTGAGATGGCCACTGGGGCTCTCTCTGACACTTAAGGCTGGCTAGCCTGCATGGTGGGGGCTGGAGGGAGTCACCTAAGGGAATATTGCAGCAGGAGCAGCAGGAGCAGCAGGAGCAGCAGGAGCAGCAGGAGC